ATCAAGCTCACACAGTAGCTCACACCGATATGTCATCCAGAGCAAGTAAACGCATGAAAGTGTGTGCTATGGCAAGTACACGCAGGAAAGTGTGCACTATTTCACATACACTCAGAAAAGTGTGAACAACGGCAATTTTACACTTTCCTGCGTATGCTTCCATGTACTCAGTGCACTGTTTGGTTTGCAGTGCACTACTGGGCTGATTTTGCAGAAAAACAAGTCATCGTTGTGTATCGTATAGTGGATGACTTGTGTTTCTACGAAAGTGCAAACCGTAGACAATCAACATGCGAAAATGAAATAAAAGTAGATAAACAATGAATTATATGAAATACGCATATTTTGAAATATTTAGCAGCGTAAATGGAATATTTAAAATACAGTTTGAAATAGACAATAAGTGCTAAGAAAAATGGACTAATTGAAAATGAAATATGCAATGTATATATTGAAAGATTTATTTGCATACCTGGAATATTCCACACATTTTTAGAAATACTTGACATTGAATTTGCCTGTGCATTTGTTGAAAAGTTATTCAGGGGGAAATCGCCCACCGAAAACGTGCAGAGGTACCCCTGTGCGGAGGTGCCCCCCTTGCTAAAATACGGTTTCCGCGGAGGCGTTTATTTCGTTTAATCAGTGGCCGACTGTTTATTTCTGAATGTGTGTTGTATATTTTTTTTAATCCACCAGGGAATGCGCAGTTGTATTTCCGGAATCTGGATTATTCTAGAATAATCAATGTAATTCTTTTCTGTGCTGTCGTATTTCTGGAGAGGGGCTTCAGGGAAATACCATATCTTGATTGTTGTTTTTTCCGCATTACTTTGTATATGTTTCAAGTTTATATTTTTCGGAATGTATTCATTATTAACTGTTATGTTATCATGCCAAGGATATGCGAATGTCTATTTTACAAATACCATTGTGCTTAAGTAAATATTCAATAACTGAAATTGATCTGTAAACCCAAGGGTCGTACACTGTGACAGTTGTTAGTGCAGTACCAAAGTGTCCGACACAGGTGTAGGACTAGGGTGTCGTACAGTTTCTGGTGTATTAGGACACAGTGTGTTCTACAGTTAGTTGTTAATGTAAGACACAAGGTGTCCGGGCGCCTAGGAGTGTAGGACAGTCCTACAGAGCTAACTATCCGACAGCGCGCCCTACATTAACAGCTGTAGTCTACACGGTGCCTTACACTAGGAACTGTAGTACACACCATGCCCTACATGAAGAACAGTTGTTCACACTGTGTCCTTCACTTAAACGGTGTAGGGCACATTGGTCCAACACCAAGAAGTGTTGGACACTGCATCCAGAACTGTCATACTATACAACAGGTGGCAGAGAGACTATCAATTCTTAAGGAGTTTGTCAGTTTAAGTTATTGAATTTTAACTTGATAGTAGTGATATTTGTGAAATATACATTCTCATTTCCTTGGCATAATAACATGACAGTTAAGAAAATATACGTTCTGAAAAATATACACGCGAAACATAAACGAAGACATGCGGAATAAACTTCAATTAAGATTGTATTTCCCTGCAGCCCCTCACCAGATAAACAACAGCACGGATAAGAAATACAATGACTATTTTCCAATAATCCAGATTCCGGAAATACGATTGCGTATTTCCCCAGTCGAATAAAAAAAATATACAACGTATAGTCAGAAATAAACAATCGGCCACCGAGTAAACGAAATAAACGCCTCGGCGGAAACCGTATTTTTTGCATGGGGGGTATCTCCGCACAGGGGTACCTCCGCACGTCATCGCTACGGCCCAGAACGCTTCTATGTCGTTTTGCTCCAAAATGCCATGTTCCCGGCCGAAAAAGGCAATGATCTGGCTCTAGAGACAACGCAGTGATCCAGGCCTAAGCGACTTTTGACTGTGCCGGGGGTCGGAAGTAGGTGCCTGGCTCTTTGCGCCTTACACGAAGAACTTCTGCAGCACCTTTTGGGAAGATCGTTCAACCTCGGCGTTCACGTGTTACAACCCCCCCAAAATAAGGCTTACAATTTTGCACAGTTGAGAAATTTCGCCAGTTTGGAGAGTGTCCTTGGATTTTCTGCGTCGAATGCGATCAGTCGGGTCCAAGGATAAAATTACAAACCGTCCCTGGCGCTGGGGCCCCTCCACTCAAATTTTTTGTGTACATGGATTATATTCCATTTGGAATATTTGGAATATCTGGAATATTTCGGAATATCGGGAATATCCGGAATATCTGGAATATGATGGAATATGTTGGAATATCTGGAATATGTTGGAATATCTGGAATATGTTGGAATATTCTGGAATATTTTGGAATCCGGAATATCTGGCAGAATCTGGAATATTTTGGAATATCTGGAATATTTTGGATTATTTGGAATATCTGGAATATGTTGGATTATTTGGAATATCATGGAATATTTGGAATATTCTGGAATATTTGGAATATTTTGGAATATATTGTATTTTAAGAAGATTATATTCCAAAATAATAAACGTTACCTTGACCTACTGAGAACGTGCGTCTGGCTTTAAACGCATTGGAATACTCTCCGTAGTGTAGCCGACCTAGTGCTGTGCCGAAAAATCCCTGGCGCACTTTCAACCCCTTCTACCCACCCCTAAATTAACCTATCATGAGTTGGTCACTCAAAGACGGCCCCTTGGGTAAAATTAAGGTCCCTAGGTCACCGTCTGACCCAGACTCAATGTTTAAATGCCTTTTAACGCGTTGCAGCGATTTCCGCCACCTCCACCCCCTCCCCTCCCCCAGTCCTACATTGGCTACCACCCCTAAGCCCTTGTTTCTGGATTCACCCCCAAAACGCGCATACTGGACTCAATTTTTTTTGCGATACTCCGAACGACCGACTTATGTTCATCTCTAAGATGAAAATCAACCAAAAACTCAACCAAGGAAACCATTAATTCAACAAATTCTCACCCCTTCTGCAGTTGCACTGTTAAAAATGCCGTAAGGAACTACGGTTTGCCTACGGTCCGTCCCATATACTTTCTATACGGTCGAGACCGTAAAGATACGGACCGTACTTCAGTGTGTAAGTCAAGTGCTGTATTGACCAATGAGTCAATTTGCGAGGTTACGGTATACATCCCGTACGGGGTGGACCGTTATCTAAAGTTACGGGTGGCGAACCTGGTGACCAATTTACGGGGCGCACCGTAGGCATTTCCCGTAGAACACCTAGTAGACACCTAGTTGGGGCCCTGGAGGGGCCCCAGCGCCAGGGACGGTTTGTAATTTTATCCTTGGACCCGACTGATCGCATTCGACGCAGAAAATCCAAGGACACTCTCCAAACTGGCGAAATTTCTCAACTGTGCAAAATTGTAAGCCTTATTTTGGGGGGGTTGTAACACGTGAACGCCGAGGTTGAACGATCTTCCCAAAAGGTGCTGCAGAAGTTCTTCGTGTAAGGCGCAAAGAGCCAGGCACCTACTTCCGACCCCCGGCACAGTCAAAAGTCGCTTAGGCCTGGATCACTGCGTTGTCTCTAGAGCCAGATCATTGCCTTTTTCGGCCGGGAACATGGCATTTTGGAGCAAAACGACATAGAAGCGTTCTGGGCCGTAGCGATTGTCAGGGGTCTGTTGACAACACATGCCTACCCTTCTACCAAACGGAAACTTTTCTACCTCATCACACAGTGAAATTATGTCCTGTCAAAAAAGTCGTGCTTTAATTTTGCTCACGAGTGAATTACATCTTGGAATATCTAGCACAAAATCTGGAATATTTGGAATATTTTGGAATATTTGGAATATATTGGAATATATTGGAATATTTGGAATATGTGGAATATGTGGAATATTTTGGAATATCGGGAATATCTGGAATATGTTGGAATATGTCGAAACATGCTGGAATATTCTGGAATATTCTGGAATATTTTGGAATATCTGGAATATGTTGAAATATTTTGGAATATCTTGGAATATCTTGGAATATCTTGGAATATTTGGAATATTTTGGATTATTTGGAATATCTGGAATATCTGGAATATCTGGAATATCTTGGAATATTTTTGGAATATTTTTCAATGTGTACATGGAATATCGAAGTGGTTCACCCCTCGTAGTTTCCCTTTTAGTAGTTGTAATACATTTCGCTCTGAACTATGGGTTCACAATTGTAAATACAACTATATGTCCCGGCCGTAACTGTATATACGCAGCAGTGTTGCGGGAGTGCATACTCAATGTTGCCGCAGGGGCCATGGCCCCTTACGGATGTGAAGAATAGGCAAACCCGCTACACTGCTGCGTAATCACAGTTACACCCGGTAGATGCATGGGCATCGTGATCGGTCGGCGGCGTGGCTCAGAAGCGCCTGTGAAGCTCGAGGTAGGCCTCCCGCCCAACCGGCGTGTCTGGCGGGCTGGCCTACCCAGCCGCTGGCAGGGGCGCTCATAGGGACCGACCGCCTTCACGGCCTCCCCGGCCACTAGACTTGACTATCCACGCACACGGCTATACCGCTAAGCAGACGAGCCGCACCGGGTGCCCGGCGGTTGTCGTCACGCCTGCGGCTGGGCGTGCGTTCATGGCGCGCTACCGCGCTACCGCACTGGGCGGCGCCAGCCTTGCCGGGAGCCAGCTCGGGGTTTGCTGGCCGCGGGGCCCTCGGTCACTCATTCCCTCTTTAGCTTCGCTTTGTGACCACCACCCTCCCCTGTCCCCTCACCCCTACTCCCCTCTCTCCTTCCTTGTGTTTCTGCTCAAGCCCCCCCCCCCCTTTCCCTCGGTGGCGAGGAGTTGCTCTGTGTGACTTTCGCTCGAACCTGACCACAGTTTGGTGGCTTAACTCCTCGTCGGCATCTTCTCTCTTCCGCACACCACACCGCGCTCTCCTTTTCCAGGCTTTTCCGCCCTCCTTTTTATTTTCCTCTTAATCCCAGCGACCCCGTTCTTTTTTTTCACTGGTGAATAAAACAAATACAGTATAGTTCAAATAATGGTATAAGAGGAACCAAAAATCTGTGTACCGGGTGTTTCATAAAAGACACAGGTGCGCGCGGGTTTGCCTTCCCAAGGGGCTATGGCGCCTTACGGGCAGAGCGGGTAGGCAAACCCACCCGCACCTGCTGTGTCTTTTATGAAACACCCGGTACAATGTAAAATAAACAATCAATACAAGTTTTTTGTCCACACATTGTGATGAAAACGCCCCCTCTATAAATGTTTCAATTGTAGCACAACTGCACAGTTGGAGTTGGGTTGACTGCCAAGTACCTTGCAACGTTTGTGCTGGGTTCCATCCATAGTGTCCCCCCCCCTCTCTCTCCGCTCTCTATCTCCCTCTCTCTTTTCTCCACCAATTTTTCACCCTTTATTCCTCCTTCCTCTCGCTGCTGCCCCCGTCCAGGAAGCCTGCTCATCATGAATTCCCCACGACCATTCGATGGAAATCACGACGATCTTTCGGAACGATTTGCTCGTACCGCAAAATGTATTCGCCTGGTTCGCAGTGGTGTCTCGTCCCGTCCCCGCAAGGCCCCGCCCAGAGCTGCACGGACACGAAGCGCTTCCTTTTTGTGTCTGCGTGGCGGTCGCGCGGAGACGGCGGCCTGTGCGTGCGTGTAGAGATAGCCATGTTCACTAAGTTAAATGACTGTAGAAAAGAAGAAAAAAATATTTAAAAAAAAACGGAAATCATTTAAAAAAAATGGAAATCTCGCTGGCGTTTGTAGTATTATTTTTTTTTTATCACTTGGCGACCGCGAGCGGCGTGGCCCCGCAGAGTTGTGCACTACGCCCTGCCACGCCACGCAACGCCCGGCGCAATCCCACTCCCAGCGCTGCACGGCGGAGACGGAGTAGCCCCTCTGCTGGCGTGACAGCACATTTGTAGAGGGCACGCCCCGCCCCGCCCCGCCCCGCTGTTGCCTGCTGCCACTCCGCCGCACGCCGCCGCCGCCCCTCCAAGCCATGCCCAGGAGGTCATAACGGTGAAAACTTCCCCGGGATTTCGTACACGCGTGCGTGCCATAGTGAAATGAAGTCCAAGTTTTTTGAGCGCTTTTGTGTACGAGTTGATGTAGCTTTGGAAGGGGAAAAACCGCAGACGATCTTCTCTGTTTAGAACTAGCACAATCACTGCATACTTCCTCAGCCAGTGGGACATTTAAAAAAAAAAAAAAAAAATTAAGGCGTGCCTCAGGTCGAAGGTCCAACCAGGCTAGAACACTGTAAACTGGTTGGCGTCTTATGACGCCAATATATTGACATAAGACGCTAAGATTTGGCGTCTGTCTTTCAGAAGGACGCCAATAGTTGGCGTCACACTGTTAAAAAAACTGTTGTAAATTAACAACGAAAGTGTAGTTAAGTTTGTTAGCAACACATGTTGCTTTTTAACAACACATGTTGTAAAAAAACAACATTGAGAAAAATCTTGGAAACAAAGTTTCAAAAGGGTCAAATGAAAACAACATTAGTTGTTTATTTACAGCTGTATCGTTTAAAAAATGGTTGTTATTTTACAACTCTTTTTAACAGTGCATAAGACGCCAACCAGTTTTCAGTGAACTGCTTTCTTCGTGCACAAAACTAAACATTTCTGTCGTGTTCCTATTTAAAGCTATTGCAAATTTTTGTCGACATCTACAGAATTCTTAACCC